TCTGCTGTTGATAACCTTCTTGTCGTTCGGGGAAATGTTGTAGTTGTGAACATTCATGACGCGCATCTGGTAGCGCAGCTCGTGGTGCTTGATAGACAGCTGCGCGACCCTGCCTGGGACTAGTACTTCAAATTCGAGAGACGGTCTGGTATCTGCAGCACTCGCAGGCCACGGCGCTAGGAATGCCACTCCACCTCGCCGTGCGTTGCCAGCGCGCTCAGCATCGGGTGATTCTGATGAACTCTGCGATGATTCTTCCGCCTGGGAGTGAAAGACCTTGTACTTGTATGGGGAGGAGGCGACCATGACTTCAAGCTGTTGACGAACACCATGCGTCTCCTGGATCATGATGAGAGCGGATGCCTTCATGAACCTCTCCAGCTTGCGCAGCTTGTTCTTGCGGCGGCGATTCTTGTAGCAGCACAGGCCACGAGCATTCCACGATATCCCTTGGCCACCACTGTCTCTAGCTTGTTGTAGCCACGGGCTCCGGCGCGTGTTAAATAGACCACCGCGTCGTATCTGTGGCCTGGAAGAGCTGCTGAAACTGATCTGTGATAGTGACCTTGTCGATACCCATCTGGTGGGCGACTGCGATGCTCCACCTGAGCTTTGTGGGTGCGTTGGCGCTGTCTCCAACCTCGAGAACCACAAGGGGAATTGAGCTGCAAGAGACGATACATTCGTCTCCGACCCTTCTGAAGTGGTGATTGCCGTACTTGTCTGCCAGGAGTCTGACCAATCTCTTTGTTTGTAGTTCTCGCCGAAGTGTTTTAGGAGACTTGTCCGCGTTGATGTACAGGGGAGTGAGCGCGCCTGTAGTGTTTGGAGCCGAGAAGTTACGCCACTGACCTCCTGCTCTGAGATTCCGTGCGAGTGAAAGACTGCGTGAAGTGGCTGCTTGTCCACCGAGGACTCTGAGGAAGAAGCGCCGTGCGGGTACGTCGCCGATGAGCTCGATGTCGTTGGTGGAGACGCCTGCTGCATTGATCCAAGGTTCAAGAGCTCGCTTGACTTCTGCGGGTTGTATAGCCGATGGTGCGCCAATAGTGTAGAGGTGGGGATCTGGAGGTCGATCCCAAACTGCCAAAGCTGCCATGTCGAAGGCGGGTAAAGTAGCTTCCGCCATTGCCAATTGCGATTGAATCCGTTCCACATCTTGCCGCATCTGTAGTTGTTCCTGCTCCACTGTGTGTGTACGTTGGCTAAGTTCTCGGACTGAGGTGTCAAGGACGTCCATCCTGCGGCCATACTGTCGCACATGTCCGAGGACGAGCTGAAGTTCGCCTTGAAGAGCTTGCTGAGCGTTGCGTATGATGGCCTCTGACTCGTTCTGGAGCCTGGCGGTGGCGGACTCGATCTGGGAGGAGAAGAGCTGGCTGAGGCGCTGCTCCAGCGAGCTGTCGTCGTGCACGAATCCATATCCAGCTGGGGTAGGGATGCTGCCGAATGCCTCGCCCGCAACTGGAGTCGCTGGTACCACTCCTGCTGGTGTTCCAGTAGGCGTGCCGGGTGTTGTTGCCGCTTCTTCTGCAGCACGCATGTGGGGGGCCGCAGAAGCTGGTCCAGGTGGAGGCTGAGACCCTGTCCACGGGTCCTCTCGCTGTAGTGCATCTTCGCCTCTCGGGTCGGCTCTTGAACTGGTTGCTCTGGCTGCTGTCGCGGCCGACGGTCTTCCGCTGCGCGCTGCTCTGCGTGTGGGTGTGGTAGCTGTGGCTGTACCTGCTCGGCCCGCACGTGGGGGATGAGCTCGTTGTGTAGCCCCCTTCTCGTGTTCACGGTGGTCTTCACGTTCACGTTCAGCTCGTCGTCTGTCCCGATCTTGAGAAGGAGGACGCTCGGATCTATGCTTGTCACTTCGTTGACCTCTATCACTGCGGGAGTGGCTGCCGTCACCTCTGCCCTTGTCTCTGCGATCTCGTTCTCGTTCTTTGCGTGGCCGTCTGCGTCGATCTTTAGATGCTGAGGAGGAGCTGCTGCCGCTACTTTCACTGGATGCCATTGTGAAGTACTCGGCCGTTGTGGGAGGTGGAGCGAGACGCTATGCAGCGCGGGGTCGTTGATGTCGTTGCTGGCTGTGGGCCGCTTCTCGCCAGCGACCTGGGGCGCGATATGGAAGCCGTCCCAGCTGATGCAGAGGTGGCTCTTCGTCAGGAGGTACTCGACCGACGGATGGAATATGGAGGCGCACACAGCAACAAATACTATGGCGAGGACACTTGGGCGGCCGCTAGCCCCTGATTGTGGCGGCAAGACAACTGGACGATCTGATGGGAGCCTACCCCGCTGAGGCAGTGGAATGGAAGCCATTTGGCCTTGAGCCAAAAT